AAATGGAATTAACATGAGTCTGAATAATAAAAGTATCAAAGTATATGATATCATGGAATATCAATATCTCGAAAAATATTTCTTAAAACAGAAAGTTTTATTCATTTTTTAAATAGATAAATAGATTATCTTCTGTAGCATTTTCTTTTGTCTTTAGTGATTTTTGTGTGTTTAAGTGAATTGTGTTTCAACGAAAAAATTTTTTGTTTTATTAACGATTGATTCTTGTTTCAAATTTTATGATTTTTATTTGCTATTAATCGACGAAATATAGATATTTATCGATATCTCATAATAAAATTACTATTTATTACGATGAATTTATTACTGATACTTTCTATTGCTAATTTTTATGGATTTTATTGTTTAGAATTTTACCCTTCTAGTGTAAAATTTTAATATATATTTTATTTCTTAAATCTATATTGTTTAAAATTTAAAAAAATTCTCGTTATAAATTTAATTCATAAATTAAAAAAATATGGATATGTAATTCCTATTGAATGGTTATAAATATAATTTATAATATTGAATTTCGCGATACTAATATGCGCTTATTCTTTCTGTTTTCGTAATTATTTTACTTTTTAAAGTTTGTATGCATTTGCATAATAATATTAAAAAATATTTAAGTACTTTTCATAACGAAGTCAAAATATAATATCGCATATTGCATAAATAAATAGTTAAACGTCTTAAATATGTAAAAATTGAATATTCATTGAATGAACGTGATTAAAGTTTAATGTAATTTATAAAATTTGTGCATTTGGTAATGAAATAATTTACTAGACCGTCGTTAGTAATCTACGGTAAAAGAGATGAATTTTCGAGATATTTAAGCATACGTTGGCGCCATCTCTACTGTGAACAGTCAAATATAACGATTTGATTATGTACAATTTTGCAATTTATATAACAAATAATATAAATATTAATGCACTATTGATAGAAAAAAAAACATATTTCTATAATTAGAATGTTTTTTATTTTATTTTATTTGAGAATATACGTCTAGGGGAAACTTCTTCATCATAAACCGCCGACAAAGAAGAAACCTGTTATTCTCTAGAAGTTTAGTATTGGTTAATATTGGCGCTACGATCGTTCTTACTAATTTTTAGACGATAATTGATAAAATATAAATATCGAATATTTAAAAATTAATATAGATTTCAACCCATAATTCTATTCATTAATGGATGGAACTAAAAATAAGTTCCATCCATTTCCCAATAACAATTGATTACATTTATAATGTCGATGCAATGATACATTATTCATTCATTTATATATAATACGTTTATATTCAATCTTTGATTTTTAATAATATCTATCACGTTAAAATCCTAAAAAAAAAAAAACAAGCTCCTTTGTTTAACACGAGGAAATCATTCAGGTCCAAATATGAGATCTATTTTTCACACATAAGATTCATTTCTACGATTCTAAAATATCATAATGTAATAATGTTCAGTGACAATCCATTGATCATAAAAAAAAACAATTTAAATTTCATTTAAAAAAAAAAAAAAAATGAAAGCGAACAAAAACGACAAAAATAAGTCAAAGTGGCACTCGCAAGAGAGTCATCTTCATCTCATCGTTCCATTCCCTAGATCGCACATAGAAGCGATGCGTTCCACTCCAATTCTCTTTGACGCGAGTCAACCTAGAAATTATTGGGGAAAAAAAAGAGGGGTGAAAAAAAAAAGAAAAGAAAAGAAAAAAAAAGATCAGAACTCGTACATCCTGGATCGAGATATATTTCCCGCGCGGCGATGCCAACAAGAACGGCATCGGTGTTTTTCGGTTAATCGATAAGACAGTTGCCGCTGGCTGTAACTCGTTTCCTTATCATTGGCCTAGTTCGAGGTCAGGCTACCGAGGGCGCTGCACGCTTCGTGCTCGCTCCTCCTTCCACCGCCTACGTTCAAGTCGGATTGAACATTGACTGTCGTCGGACAGGCCTCGTCGGCGGAGCGAAAGTTTCGCGTGCACGCGTCTCGTCGTTGCGAGTAAAATGACGTTTATCGGTCCACGCGGCTATTCCGTTGATCGTCCGTGGCCCAGGCACGTCCACGTTTGACGTGTTATGTGAACCTCCTGCACCTGGAAATCGGCTGTTCGTGCTAGCATGAGTATTTCTCAGGAAAGCGCAGCCACGATCGTGTGCAAGGAGATCTTCGACGGAGTCTCGCATCCGTCAGACGAAGGTACGTGGAAAAACCACGAATTTAAAACTACCGATCACCGTATGCCAGCCTCCTCCAACCCATCCTTCCATCTTTGGTGTCACGATCGATCTAGCGGGGTGGTTTTCTTCGCGACTGTCATCCACACTTCCGGCTCCCTTTCTCTCTCTCTCTCTCTCTCTCTTTCTCTCCCTTCCTCTTCATCCTTCGAAAGGAGGGTGATTGATTTGGCAATCGGTGCCTCGGCTACGCGATTTCTATCGTCCTGCCGCGATTCTTCACCCTTTCTCCGCTTCCTCTGAAGTATCAATGAATCACGCTGAGAAACAGTTAATTAGCCTGGCCAAAGATTAAATAATTTACATCGAGTATTCGATTATAATATTCAATACGTTACGTAAAAAAAAAAAGAAAGCACGAATATATATATCATAATTGCTTGTAATTCAGAGGAACGAGATATGGGTTCTTTGTCCCAGTAATATCGTTTCGTTGGATTTAATTTAACTTTTACCGATAGGATTACTCTTGTACTATTTGAAAAGGCACGATTAAATAAATATCTCCTTGCACGAATTTCGAAACAACGATTAATTACTTTTTTGTTTAGAAAGACGATTAAAAGAAAACAAAAATTAAAATATTTCAAAAATTCGGAATTATATTCGAAAGTGGTCAACTGGTAAATTCGCTTAAAGGGAGGAAGAATCGGATAAAAATTGTTAAATAAATAAAGGAAACAAGGGATTAATAAAATGTAAAAAGTCATGGATAAAATGACAAAGAGTTGAATAATTTCGGAGGTGAGTTTTCTTGTTTATTTACACCCTGCTCGGACGGGAACACTGAGCCCGTACCCTAGCGTGGCGAGGAAAATCAATAGAATCCGCAGTGCGGCGAAAGTTTTGTCATAAGCCTCGAGGACCTCCCACCTTGGTATCCGTGCCATTGGCCAGTTTCCATGGGTGAAAATGCATCGAGTGGCCCAAAAACGAGGGCAGAATCCGTCCTACCGCTTCATTTCGCGCGATCGTCCACAAAACGGGTGAAACTCTTGCGCGTAACCACTGTGGTGGTTACGAAATTTTAGCCACCGCAAGGAAGACAGATGTGGCGGTTTCCCCCGTACCCGGAGCCACCTGTCAAAGACTTCCATGATGGAATTTTAAATCGGTCCTCTTTGCAGCGCTGTCGTCGCGATTTCAGTTTCCTAAGAAAGTGCAAACCTTTCAACATCCTTGATTGAAGGCACAAACGATTCTTTATTCGCCGACTTTGCCGTTAATCGTATGTTTCATCATGGATAACAGTATTTCTTATGCTCGATGCATTATTTCTGTCGCTCTTTTCGTGTTTACCAGAATTAATTTTCGTGCCAAAAAAAAAAAAAAAAATAATAAAAAAGTCGTAAGATATTCGATGAATGAATATGATGAATAATGAAAAATGGAAAAATTGAAAAAAAAAACGAGTTTATTCGTCGTAAATGAAATCAAATTTCGTCGAAAAGAATTGTTGTTTTTAATTCAATACGAGCATAAATTATTTATAATAGAGAGAAATTCGATGGGATGCAACAAATGAGATATTTAATTAAACGCAATGGTGAAAACTTAAACTTTGCAATAGATTTTTTCAGCTTTAAGCGTATTTCTGTGACTCTTGTACAACGTATGTACAGTATCATACATATTTTATTGCAAATCTTTACATTATCTTACTTTATTTGTAAATATGAAATTAATTTAGATATAATCCTAATTAAGATTAATAAAAAAAAATTTATTTAGATAAATATAACGAATGTGAAACTCTGTGTGAAACATTATCACTAATTGAATTAAAATTTGATATGCGAATCACTTGAACATTAACTTTCGTTTCACGGTTAATGATTTCAGAAAATTAATTTTTTTAAACCTAGATAAGATAACTATAGAATTTACGATACACGAATATTTTTCGACGTCCCTCTTTCTCTACAGAAACAATTCCGCGTATCGCCACGTGTACTTCCACCTGGTCTACAATCGATGAACCTTGTGTTGCGTTATCTTTTTATATACAATGGCTCGGGAAACCTTGAAATTACTTGTTTCACTTGATTATTAATACTTTCTTTATTACTTATCGACGAGTATATTTATAATTTATCTGATATAGATTATAAATTCTAATCTTCGACGAGATATAAATAAAAAAAACTTCAACATCATCGATTTTTATCTTGCGAACGATAATCGGGGAAAAAAGAAATCAAACAATCGAAAGAAATACGAACAATTTCTTTGTTCTCTCTCTCTCTCTCTCTCTCCCGATCGAATCCTTGACCTTGTTTCTCGTTTCATAAAAAAAAAAAAAAAAAAAAGAGAGAAAGAAAAAGAAAAATAACCTTCGATATGCACGCATTTGAACATGGCGAACGCTTGTTTCCAGCCAAATTAATACCTATACACGCCGAAACGAAGGCTCACGCGGTCCACCGGCCTGCTTGTAATCAGCTAATGGAGCACGTGTGCTTTTTCAGAGGTACTCGAATATGCGAGGCGCTTGGGAATCGACCCGGATACAGAACCACACCTCCTGAGTTTGGCTCGGGAGGGCCTGATGGCGGCCCTCCCCAAGGGCTGGCTACCATGCTTCCACGAAACGAGCGGTGCTTGGTACTATTATCAAGCTTCCACCGGAACCACCACATGGCAACATCCCCTGGACGCCGTGTACAAGGAGATGGTCGAGCAGGCCAGAGCTGCGAGCAACGCCGCCAAGCCTGTTAACGCCAGGCAGATCAGCGTCGGTACGGATTGCCTCGTCATTACGGCTGAATGGAAAATATAGGATTAACCCTTTGCACTTGGACTGATATCACTTGGCTGCACTTTGCGCTTAATAGAGACAAAGACTGATTAACCGATGCATCATCCATTCCTTTTTTTTATTGCTGCACCGTTGTTAGTTTAGATTGGAGGTAGAACGCGTATATTATGGCACAATCGCACATTTGAAAGGCTCGTAAGTAAATAAAATGATTCTTCTTCAATTTCAATTGCGAACTTGGTTCACCAAAGTAATTCAGATATAGAAATTGTTGCGTTAATATACCGTGAATATTACGTTACGAATGCTTAAAGATGCTCGAATATTTTTATTATTTGAAAAAAGAAAAAAAAAAGAATTAATAAAGATTATTAATCTCTATTAATTTATGAGCTTTTCATTTTGTATTTGCGATCTGTTCTACGATCGACGTTACTTAACGACTCGTAGAATTGACGAGAAGACTGATTACGAATATAACACGATGTGTAATATTTTTTTATCAACCGACCGAATGTTTCCTACTCTGACGAAAGTAGGTTACTGTAACGAACAAAGTATATTCGCGTTTTGTACATGTATGTAGATCATGGTGTATAAATAAAGCATTATATTCGTATCATGGAATGGTAATCGCATGATTCTTTTTTTTTTTTTTTCTTTGCATCTTGTGCCGTCGAACGTGCAAAGGGTTAAACCTCGCACCCGAAAAGAAAAGACTATCGTAATCGTTCTCTTATCATTTTGCTCGACATTCATTTCCACGTTTCGTTTCTCGATACCGAAATTGACTATCCCACGCTTCGCCGAGCGTTCTCTTTTCTGAAAGTATCTGACTTTCATTCGATAACAATGTTTCGATAACGATTCATCCGCATCTAATCTCTTTTCTAATTCGAACGAGTTATCGAAACGAATTCCAGTAGTAAACAAGATAAGATATCAGCGATACCTGTTTAAAAATCAAAGATTATTTCCTAATTTTTACTACGATGAAAATTGGACGAGTTGCTAGATGGCGCTTTTTTCGTCTGTTCCCTGTTGTTCCACTGCCAAAATTTAACTGATTCGCGTCAAAATTAAACAACACATATACACATTTATATATAGATATATATGTTTATATCGGTTCGGCAAACTTTTTGAAATCTCAAAGGAATTTTGGCTTTTCGTCAAATTTTTTCAACGAAACTTTATCTATATAATCTTTCAATTTTTTTCTTTTCTTCTTTCTTTTCTTTCTCTTCCTTTTTTTAAATCTCGAGCAGTCATTCATCGTGTCTGGTTATTCGCACGATATATTCAGACGGACTCATACCAATTACGTAAAGTGGGAATATTCTCTTGCGCTTGACCTTGAAGCTTGACTTCGTACAATTACAAACCGCTTCGTTTTCTTTTCCAATGACCGCAGATCGCCGGCAACGAAATAGCCTCCACTTATTGGCTCGGTATTTTTACGTAACGCGGCGTATAGTTCATAGCCACACGGAGAGCCAGTCTCGCGAGTTTTATGTAACCTTTCGCGATTCGCGTAGCGCGATACAATCGGTACACCGTACCGAATTCGTTTCGTTTGTTAATTATTTACGAACACGTGTATCGATTGCGGTAACGTTGTTAATCTTATCGCGGCTCTCCCTCGCGTCCTCGCTTTTATGTAACAAACATCGATAATCGTTTCTTTTTTTTTTTTCTTTTCCTTTTTCATTTTCTTCTTCTTCTTCTTCTTTTTTTTTTTCGAAAAATACGGTACAGTAAATTAAATTGCTCCTCGTCCGTTCATCGCGAAAAAGGTATCATTTCATTAAGGTTAAACGGGCTGACCGTTAAAAAAACGAAACGATTGTTTTCGTAGAAAGTGAAACGGATTCAGTGAATCGGGTGAACCAAAGGCAAGTTCAAACTGCAATATCGAGGCTCGAGGACAATAAACTTGTATCGCGCGGATTTGTCGCGCGATTTCTTCACCGTTGACGGTGATGGCCGCGCTCCTCTGCCTCTGCGAGAACAGAGAACTCTTCAAACTCTTTCCTCGCGATACATTCGTTAAGGCGCTACTACTCACGTGTCGGTGCACTCGCTCGTGAAAGTACGTAATAGTTGCTTGAACGTAGATCCGTCCAATTATCGCGTCCTCGTCCATCGAACGCGGATCGTTGTGTCGTGTCGGTGTTCCTCGCCACGCTCTTCGCCACGGTTGTACGCCATCCAAAGCTGGTGACACAATCTCAAAGGGGTACACGATCAATCACCGTTCACGTGAATTTATTGGCTCTCTCGTTTCGCTCGAGAGCTCGAATTTCGATACACTTGTCGTCCTTTTGACAACGAGGCAACAACGACGATTCGATATGAGCTTCGGATCGCGAGTCCACGATGCGCATGGTAAACGTTTGCCGAAATAATACGTGTATCCTTTTCTTCTTCTTCTTCTTCTTCTTCTTTTCCCCCTTTAATTTAAATATTGTCATCGAATTGTGTGAAGTATCGATTACCATTAGTCAGAGATCGAAAACAGTGTTTAAAGCCGTGTCAACACGCTGTGGTTTTTGCGGCCTAGACCTGAGAACTGTGGACGCGTGAAAAGTCAATATTTGTTGATAGTTCCGTCTTTTTAATATATATCCTCTCGTTTTTGCATCGGATAAAGAGGAAGATTAAAGGCGCGCTCTGAACGTTGGGGTTTTCTTTTCTTTTTTTTTTTTTTTTTTTAAATTTCCACCCCATCGTAGATTTCTCTGAAGCGGTGGTTATGAAATAACATCCTCCCTCTCGCTCTGCAAATGGAAACGAAACTCACGATGGATTATTTTATAAATACGATTTTGACATTTTTTTTTTTTTTTAGAACAAAACAACTATGTTAAAAGAATTTTGAATAGTTGTAAAAATATTTGTCTGGTCCGTTTCTCTCGGATTTGTAGTGATAAATACTATCATGAATATGCATAAATTTGTTCCCTATCCATTTTGTCTTGTTTTTCAATGCAAACCTCACTGACGAAAACGAAATGATACATTTACTCTACAGAATCTTACATAAATCGATACATAAAATCCGATACTCTTTATCGTTTGCTTATTTTCTCTTTCTTCTCTTATTTTCATTTTTTCTTTTTTCTTTTTTCTTTTTTCCTNTTTTTTTTGATAAGTGAAAGAGAGCTCGAAAAAATGCATGACATTTTATACAATTCTATTCCTCGCTGTTACATAATAATCGACTCTGCACTCTTCTCGGCTTTTAGGCATATTTTCTTATCCATTTCATCGCTGTTCCTCTTATCCCTCTGCCGAGTGTAAAAAAAAAGAGGAGGGAAAAGAGTGGAAAACAGTCGTTGACTCGCTCGCGAGGGAACGTTGACACTGTCGCCTCTTTTCACTCGAGAGGGTCATCGTGAGCGGGGAAATGTTTGCGCGCGTTTCTCTGATCCTTGGAACGACGACTATCGACTCGTGCCTGCCTCTTCTTCCAACCTTTTCCTCTCTCTTTCTCTCACTGTTCACTCGCAACGAAACAACTTCACCAAGTTACACAAACTTTGCTTTCCCTCCCCGTTCGACAGAAGAGGACTCGAAGACAACGGCCAAGGAGCTCGAGTCGAACGAGGAAGCAACTCTGCCCAAGGAAGCGTCTTCGTCCGCCAAGGAATCCGGCAAGCAATCCGCCAAGAACAATCCGCCACCTACCAGAATCCCCACGAAGCTGGCGCCGTTGAAAAAATTGGAAAAGATCGACGGTACGAGGAAGAAGGATGGCGGGGGCCAAGAGAAACAACAATCGAGACGGGAGGACAATCCGTTGGCGACTAACAGGGCCGGCAGGGATTACACGAATCTCAAATTCCAAGATCCGAGATTCTACGAGTGTCCCAAGCTCCTGGAGACGGTCGCATCGACCACGACCACCAACACGACCACGTCCACCAGCCCAAAGCAGGAGATAGACCTGAAAGAGGTGCTCAAGAGATCGGAATCCCTCAGCCCGAGGCACGAGAAGGATTGGGAGCAGTTGTCGAGCAGGTTCAGCTCCGAGGAGAATATCATAGACATCGATAAACTTAGCATCAACGCGTTGGCCAGGTCGGAGAAATCCGACAAGTTCGACAAGGAGAAACATCCGAGCCAATTCGGCCAACAGAAGGAATTGACTCTGAGCGGTGGGGGGACTATGTTCCTGAAGAGCAACAGGAGCAGAGACACCACGCCTATCCACGAGACCGGTAAACTCGACGAGTTCCGTACCTTGTCGATCCCGGACGAGACCAACAAAGACAGCGGGGACAAGTTGAAGTCGATTCTCAGGGAGAAACAATCCGAGGACGGTAAGTTCAATTCTGAATGTCAATTGTTTCATCATTTCGCGTCGGATCACGTCCAATTTTAATTTTAATCGGTTAATCTCGATCAGACGACAGACCGGTGGACGAGGAAAGGAAAAGCGTACGTTTCGACATCGAGAAGGAAGTGGACATCAAGTACACTTACTCCAGGTCTGAATACGAGTCGGAATCCGAATCTGACGAGCATGAGGTGCTCGCCATGCTCTCGAGTCGAGATACCGAGTGGAGTCCCTCGAAAACGCAGAAAACCAGCCAAAGATTCACGGAGGAGAGCAAGGAAGATCCCGAGGACAAGATCGATGGATGTGTCAACAAGAGTTTATCGTCGGAAAAAATCGAAGCGTCGAAGACGCAAAATGGGAAGATCGTGGGAAAGAGGTTCGTCGTGAGGAACGTGCCTGAGAACGAACTTCGTAAAAAGTTCGCTCCTCAGAACGTTTCTGAGAAGGAACACCGTATGCAAATGACCAGAGACAGTTTGTCCGGAGAGAGTTTGTCGAGGGAGAGCAGTTTGGACTACACGTTCACCAATAAATTCAACAAAATTAAAAACATCGATCTGGTTTCGAAGAGCGAGACCGATTACAGCGACTCTGAACTACGGCGGAAGAATAAATTGAAAGTGGAGTTGCCGCGCAACGAGCAGACCGACGACGACGAGACTTCAGATTTCTCGAAGATCAATCAAGACGCTCACGATATCTCGCGAAGGGAAGGCAACGAAACAGCGACGAAACAGGATCAGAGCAAGAAGTTGGAGGAAGCGAAAGCGAAATTGGGCGAAGAGCACGAGAGGGACATCGAGGCGTTGAGGAAAGAGTACAAGGACAAGTTGGAACAGATGAAAAAAGAATTGGAGGAGAATTTTGCGGAGCAGAAGAAGCAAATAGAGAAGAATCTGAGTGACAAGTTGGAGGATATGAGGCGAAAGATGGTCGAGAAGGTATTTTTCTACATCTTAAACGATTTTAATCTTATATATGGATATATATATATATATGTATTTTTTATACGTTTTTATCAATTTTTATCATTCGTTAAGGAGGAACGAGAAATTCAAAAATTAATCGCCGAAATGGACGAGGCCAAGTTGGAGAATCTGAGAAAGGTAAAGGCCGAATTGGAGGTTTGCTACGAAAAGGAGAGGCAAGAGATCTTGGCGAATTTGAAGACTGAACTGGACGAGAGAAAGGGAGAATTGTTGGAGCTACGGAATCAGGAGATGGGAAAATTGGAGAACGAATACGAGCGCGACTTGGACGAGGAGAAGCTCGCCAAACTTAGCGAGATCAAATTGAGCAAGCAACACCAGGCGAGGATCAAAACGATGAAGAAGGAATTGGATAAAGAGTTCGACGAGTTGCGCAAACAATTACGGGCACAGCAGAGGGAAAATATCACGAAAATTACGGAGGAACACGAGAGTCGTCTTGTCGAAATCCTACGCGATTTTAGAGTGAATGTAAGTACCTGACGGTGTCTATTATCATAAGTAGTTAGCTAGTTGTATTGTATCATCGATGCATAATAGAGTAATCTTTCTATTTTTTTCGAAGATCTTCTAGTTTCCTCGTCGAATAACAGTCACCAATTTAATTTTATACCATTTCTTAGAAATATTGTGTTATCCGTACGATGCGAGCTATTGGCGTTATGCAACGATTAGTTAACTCGTTGAACGTTATTATTTTTTTTTTTCTATGAACACAATAAAGCTATTCGCTTATCGGTTTCTTTTACGATTAGATGTAAATAGATGTGCGATATAATTCCACGTTCGGCCCAATATTGTACGACACCGTCCAGTCTAAAGCGCCTTATAGGATATTATTAAGACAAATCCTTCCACTCGATTATTGTACTCGAAGGATTATTCTTTTTAAGTTGATTGTATCCAGAAGATTATATTCGAAGAAATAAAGTGGCAGTGTACGCTATCGCAAATAAGCACTCTTATATATATACTTTGACCTAGACACACGCATTGCATGCTGCTTATTTATACAACGTTTCGATGAAAAGAAAAAAAAAAACGAAACGAAACGAAACGAAACGAAACGAAATTTCAACAGGACGACGAAGATGAAGACTTAGGAGGGAAGATACACGCGCACACATTTGCACATTTTCGCGAGTAAAAATAAGATGCTGTTTCAGGAGGATCGCACGCGCAAGATGTACAAGCAGTGTTTGGAAGAGATTCGCGCCGATTTCTCGCGCGACGCGGAGAAAGAGGCTAAGAAACAGACAGGTCGCGCTATCCACCAAGAGAGCATCGAGTTCGAGAAGATGAGGTGCGAGAAGCGATTGCTCCAAGATAAGTACATGGCGTTGAAGGAGAAATACATGAAATTGAAGAAGGAGGTACGTTCGGCTATCGAGAGGAGGAGTAGGAGAAAGGAGGGATACACGACCGCCTCGGAGACGGAGAGGTCGACGTCGACGAGGACGAGGACAGACAGGACCGAGTCGTCGGATCAAAAGTGAGTTTAATCGTAAACGTAATCATTCCGCTAGTTTTCATTCCGGTCAACCGTTTGCTTTTCCAATAATAGTTGCAGCAAACATTCGGCATTTCATTGCAATATTTTAGGATGTCGCGCCATTGTAGCGGCGTCATACAAGAGGAGGGCGCGTGAAATCAGAGAAACGAATTGAATCGCAAAGGGTTGACATGTTGGATCGCGCTCTGAACCACTTGTACGTGCCATGACTTTAACAAAATCAGTCGGAAGCACGGTTTTTATCTACGTGTTACGATATTTGTATTTGGATCGAGTGTTCACTGTACTAATTGATTAAGTTATTGCACATCCATCCTCCTCGTCACCAATTCCAGTACCTTCATGGTTAAACGCTTCACGCTTATTTCTCGTCTTACATACATACATACGTACGCAATAATTTTTATATACACGTTCGATCGTCGGATTTGTCGAAGAAGAGAATATCCATTCGGTAATAAATAATGATAAATAACGACGATTATCCGTCGATAATATTCGTCCGAATATCTCGATTCACTGGTGTAAAACTGTGAAGGTACTCCCTCATGTTCATGCGATTCGTCCTAATGTCTGGCTATAGGCCTTAAATCGTGCTCGCAGTATCCCATTACGAAACACGCACTCGAGCTCGGCGACGACGAACACTAAACCGCCCGAGACTCGGACGACGACGAACGAGCAGTCGGAAGAATTGCACGATCCGAACGAACAGAACGTTCAGAAGGCGAACTCGGGGTTTCAGAAGAGCGCAGCTACGTCGAACGCGAAAAATGTGAGATTCCATTCCGACGAAACGAGCATCGCCAGCGAGACGAACGCGAACGTAACAACCGGAAAGAAGAACTTCGCCAAGAAACCGACAATCCAATCCAAACCGAGTTCAACCACCGGCAATAATATTAACAACAATAACAACAATCTTGAAAACCCGGTCGAAAATATAAGAAAACAGTTGGAGAAGCTCGAGGATCTCGGTGATCAATTGCCAAGCAACGAAACGGCCTACACGTTGCGATATCCTTTCCAAGACAAAGGTAACTTTCTCTACGGATGGCTTCTTCTTAGTTGCCGAAGTAATCAAAAATCCGTGTTCCAGAAGCAGTAAAAAAAAAAAAAAAAA